GTAATGACTAGGTCATCAGCAAAGGCTCTTAACTTATATTCTTCTTTTTTAACTCTTATTCTCAAAATGTTGTCATCTTGTCTAATATCTCTAAGTAAAACTTCTAAAACCAATATAAAATGGAGACAAAGGGCATCCTTGTCTCGTACCTTTTTGAATTTCGCATGGTTTAGTAAAGTCTCCATTAACAATTATTTTTGCGGTATGTGGTATATATATTGATTTAATCCATTTAACAAAGTTTTCCCCAAATTTCATAGAATCCAAAACTTTAAACATAAGTTAAAAAAGAAGAATATAAGTTAAGAGCCTTTGCTGATGACCTAGTCATTACTTTAGAAAACCCACTGGAGGGGGTCAAATTGTTGTTAAAAAAGAAGAATATAAGTTAAGAGCCTTTGCTGATGACCTAGTCATTACTTTAGAAAACCCACTGGAGGGGGTCAAATTGTTAATGCAAAAATTTCTCTAATTTGTCTTTTTGGTAAAAATCCTGCTTGATCCTGATGGATAAATTTTACAAGAATATTCTTCATTCTTTCCGCTAAAATTGTTGTAAGTATCTTATAATCATTGTTCAATAGAGATATTGGTCTATAATTCTTTGTCAAGGTCAAATCCTGTTGATATTCTGGAATCAAGGTAATATGGGCTTCTTTCCAAGTTTCTGGCATTACACCTGTGTCCAAAATTGAATTCATAGTCATTTGTAAAGGAAGACAAAGCTCCTCCTCAAAATATTTATAGTAAGCTGCTGATAAACCATCTGGGCCAGGTGCTTTTCCACAGTTAATTTTCTTACAGGCAGTTGACATTTCCTCTAATGTGTTGAGATCATTAAGTAATTTTCTCTGATGATCAGTAAGAATAGGTAGTTTTTGTTTAGACAGATATTTATCAATATCATCTGAATGAACATCTTGTTTTTTATATAATGAGTAATAACAAAAAAAGGCCTCTTGAATGCCTGCATTATCCATTAAAGTCTTCCCCTTGTGTTGTATTTTAGAAATTAATCTTTTCTGTCTTTGTTTACGCAATTTATAAGCTGTGATTCTGTATATTTTTTAATGGTTTGAGTTGAATTTGTCCTTGGACACCATTGTTCTGTTATTAATTGTGGCTTTTTTAATTGTTTCTTGTTTGGTTTTTAATCCTATGTTAGCCACCTACAGTCACCAGTATGGGATGGGTGGCCATATACATTGATTGATTAATTGATTGTTTGAATAATCCCCCCTTAGTCCCTTGCAGGGAACTCTCCACAAGGGACCAAATTGGGCGGCGGGGGGGGGGGGGGAACACTCTCTGCACAGGATTAAGAGTTTTTTCCCCCCCTTTCCTTAGTCTCTTAAAGAGATTCCCCCCTCCCCACTTAGGCCCATAGAACCGTATGGCAGACATTATTTGAGATAGACCCATGGAAGTCATGGAAGTCATGAACTCCTCAGCTGTTTTGGAGAAGCTGTCCTCCTCAGACAGGAAGACTGTTGGGTAGCAGGGCACAAAGTGCACGAACAGACTCCCTGTCCTGTCTCCCTCCCCAAACTTCAGGTACACAGACTTGGAACTTAGTTTCTTTTAGTTTGGCCCTGGGTTGGAATCCTTTGCAACCATGTCAACCCCTCTGCAGGGGACCCTTTGCATCTCTACTCCTGAATGCAGAAACCTGGCAAGAGAATCTGGTACCAGACAATATTGCTCAGCCATGTCTCCATCATACATACCAAGTCAGTGTTTTCATTCTGGATCTAATCTTCTAGCGGGAGAGAGGTCTTACTTGCCGACAATTTGGCATTGAAAAAAAGAGATGTAATAGAGGGCTTGCTGAGGTGCTTCACTGCCTCTTTTGGCTGATAACCAGGCCTGATTCTCTGCCTCCTGAACTAGCCATTGCAATTTTATTTATTTATTTATATTTCAAATTTGTCACCGCCCATCTCACTGCAGAGCGACTCTGGACAGTTACCTCCTCCTGCCCCAGGAGCTCTCAAACATTCATCTCCCCCCTGAATATGCATGTCTCCCTATGAATGAGTAAATGAAAGTTACCACCCATCCAAATAAACCTGTGTTTCGGGTTTTGTACCAGCTGAGACCCCAGGGAGGGAATGTCATCCATGTATTGTTACAGGCTTTTATGGGCTCCACTCTGCAGATAACTGGATGTGAGGCTCTCGGGAGCCTCTGGAATTGGGCTTAATGGAACAGCTGAGATTGCTGCTGGTGTATCGCCCTCCCTGCTGCCCAGCAGCAGCCTTGCCTGAGCTGCTGGATTCCAGTGCTGGGTTGGAAATAGAGTCCCCAAGGCTGTTGGTGCTTGGGGATTTTAATGTACCATCTGGTGACATTAAGTCTGGGGAGACAAGGCCCATTCGATTGGCCCACCCTGGGTGCTTGATGGCTCAATGGGACTCCAAAGAGAATGGAGATTTCTTCCTTTCTCCAAGTCTGGTTCCAATCAGTGTTTGGGGTGTGTGTGTGAAATCACTAGGCCTCTCCTTTGTGGGGTACCACAGGGTTCTACTCTCTCTCCCCTTCTATTCAAAATCTACACGAAACCTCTGGGTTTGGTATCATCAGTTTGGATGGGGAGGAATCATCTCCAATTCAGTCCTACCAAGACTGAGTGGCTGTGGGTGTTTGGGCCACCTAGATGTGGGTTTGTTTCATCTATAACCTTGGATGGAGGGACACTTCCCCATTCAAGAGCAGTATGTAATCTGGGGGTCTTCCTGGACTCATAGCTCCTGCTTGATGTCAAGTTACAGCTGTGGCCAGGAAGGCCTTTGTACACCCCCCCCCCGGGCATTTCATGGCTTAACTACTGCAACACGCTGTACATGAGGCTACCCTACCCGGGAGTTTCAACTGGTCCAGAATGCAGCAGCATGGGCAATGCTGAGCACTGGTACACCCATGTAATGCTTGCTTAATGAGTTGCACTGGTTGCTGGTTTGCCTCCAGATGCGATTCAAGGTGCTGGTTGTGACCTATAAAGCCCTACATGGCATAGGGCCTGGTTATGTGAGGAACCATCTTGCTCTCATACTATCTGCCTGGTTGATTTGATCCAGCAGGTTTGGCATGCTCTGGGCTCCTTTGATTGAATATCTATTGTGACCCTGGAAATACACTCTTTGTAGCAGCACCTCCTTCTGGAATGAGATTCCCCCCCAAGATATGGATGCCCCATCACCTTGCTGATGTTTCAAAGGGCCTTGAAGACCTGGCTCTTTGCCCATACCTTTGGCAAGGATGATTAAAGCCCCCTTTCAGGTTGTGTGGGTCTGCTTTTTGCTCCTGTCCACTTTTTTTTTTTTTGCCACTTTTGATTCTTGTTCATTATTGTATTGTTTCATTGTTTTTCATGTTTTTTTACTTATGAACGACTAGGAATCAGATGTTATACAAATTTAATAAACAGCAATAATAAACCATCCAGATTCACCTCCAACATCAGTTACTCCCACCTGATAAGCCCCTGAAGCATCTACCACACCCCTGGCAATTATTCACCATCATTTACCATGTATAAGTGTAGACCAATTTCTCAGGCCGACTAATATATTTCTCATCTCTCAGCACCAACTCAGCCCTTTTTCCAGCATGTCCTAGGCAAGGACAGCAGCAATGGTGGAGCCACAGCAACAGTGATCAACAGTCAGAGCAGCCACACCTGATTTGAGAGAACAAGCCAATCCACTCAAACAGTGGCAATATCTGCCATGGTAACATGGAAGGTGTGGACGATAGAGGCTGCAAGAGCAGGGACAAGCCATGAAGGTGAAAGCCAGAGGGACAAATGACCAGCGGCCCAGATGATAGTCAAGAGTCAGACCAAAAAAGGGCTTAAATAAGGTGACAAATAACCGAGCTACAATAAATTTAATACATAACAATCTATAAATTGTGGAGCTTAAAATGAAACATTCCTTTATTTTAAGATCCAGAGAGGGAAAGTGAAGTAGAATACAGAGGCCTGACGTCGAGCCTCTAACCCATAAGTATTTCAAGTCCAAACAAGAACCCTGGCTGAGCTAGAAAGCAATTAGGCATTGAGAAGACTTAGGCACAGAGAATGTAACAAGCACTAATAAGATAAGTGAAAGTGCAACAAAGAATGCAAGCCTGGCTGCTAGGAATGAACAATTAGCCCTGGGAACTCAAGGCTGTCAGATAATGGTTCGGGTAAAACCATTTACTTGAGACCAAGAATTCTTAGGCCCTTTCTTGGAATCCTAGGGAGATGTTGCATAAGGGATACATTACTTCATTCTCCAACTCCATATTACATATTTTAACATGTATGAATTAACCCAATACGGCTAATCTGACCATTTACATGAGATGCTATAGCCTATTGTTTAATCTTTACATCAAACTATTACCGTAATCCATCAATTAAATGATTTGCATAAATCCATAACGAGTGCTTGTAACTTCAGCGTCTTCAGCCTTCTCTCTTCCGCCTCCAGTACTGAAATCTGTCAGTAAGCCAATTTGGGCTTCAACTTAATTGTGTCCTTATACCCCTCTGAAATCCTCCTACAGTTTAGTCAGCGCCAATATTTGAATTAGGTTTTCTGAGGGGAGGTCATCAGAGGAACAAGGAAGGAGTCTACAGCCACATGGTCAAATATATTTAGAGTTTTTCTGCCTAGCACATAAATGTCCCAGGTTTGGTGACTGGATGATTGCTTCCCTTCCTTCCCCTTTTACATCTACATCATCACCACAACCATCACTGTTGCGCAGAGTTTGTTTTGTGAACAGTTTTGATATGTTTTTAAACAAATGGGCTTATCCGCATAGTCAACGGAAGTTAAGCTTCACATGTGGGAATGTTTCCTTTATATTACATCACAGGAAGAATTCATAATTCATAATTGAATATCTATAATACAACTTTAAAGGCTCAGAAAAGCTAGAAAAGCTCAGACTTTACTGCTCAATCTTTATTAAAATGACTTAAACACATATTGGCTCCCAGTATTCTGCATTAATTTAATCTTGGTCTGATACTGCATGGTTATTGATTTAACATAGATTAATTGAAGCTAGCATACCACTGACAAAATATTTAAGGCAATAATGCTGTACTTGTCTGGTTAGTATAGGGAATAAGTTTTAAAAATCACAGCTTCAATGGAACAATTGAGTAAAACAAAATACTGAATTATGAAATCAAAATAAATCATTTTAAATCAGAGATCTAGAAGTTTATAACAATTATATTTTTTAATACAGGGAAGCAACACTTATCAGAAATAAACCACTATACTAAAAATAGAAAGTAATATAGATTTTAATTTTTAATGCAGTTTCTAAATGATGAAGACTTAAAAGGTCTGGAGAAATAAAATAAAAAGGTCTTCGCATAATACTTAGAGATTAAAATAAGTGCCAAAGTGGATTTCTATGGGGAAGGAGCTCCTCTGGACACAATGAGTGTGTTCACATACTGCTTTATAAGCTACACAGGGACATGAAAACTGTTGCTGGGACATGAAAACCCATCGGCATGCATTTTGCAATCCTCAAAGCCCCGCCATGTGGGTGATATTAAAGATTTTGGCTATTTACATGGGAGGGGGTGTTAAGGAGAAAAATTTCTCTTAAAACTTCTGAACCCCTTCCCCAAATAGGTCCCAGCTCCACCCACGTATGCTATTCTTGACATGCCACATCCTTACTGTAAGCCAATAGTTCCCAGAATTTTGGTTTGAACTTGATAGCTGGCTTTCCTTTGCCAGGAGAAGCAGTTAAAAAGAACTGCTGAAGCTCCTTACATGGTGAACTGAGAACTTTGTTGCTTGTTTTCCCAAACAGTCCAGTGTGGAAATACAATGTTTGTACTCAGGCCACATGGTGTGGGATTTACAGTCATAATATAACTGGACCATACCAGGTTGGTAAGGCTGTCATAAATAGATCACGGAAGAAGAGTAAGTAGTCTGTTATCCAATTCCAGGAGCTATGGTCAGCCTAATTTTTTTTACTTAGTGCAAACCATGAATGCAACGTATTTAGGAATTAAATACATATAGAATGATGGTGAGCACATTGACAGATTTGGAAAGTATGTACAATGAAACATAAATTACATTGATTGAAACAAACTAGACAGTACAATGAAACATAAACTACATTCAGCAACACTGAAAGAGAGCATTCCTTCCTCGGCAATAGATTTATTAGCGCAATCAACTATGGAGGAGCAAGAAAAAAAATATCAAATACATTTGCTGCATAAATTACTTTAAAAATAACATTCTTATTTTTAGGAAGCAGCTATCCTCCATTTGCAGATGATACATAACTTGGCAGGATGAATATAAACGACATAATTTTTGGTTGTTAACTGCATCAGGAGACGTAGGGAAGAATAAAAGCATGGCAATACAACAGGTAAACTGTCTCATATTCAGCTTTATCAGTATTATCCAGGTGGGAAAGTTGTAAATTACATTTTATAATACCTCATGGGGCAATTAGAGAGAAGAGTGTTTGATTTCCCCTCCCCCTTTACTATTCTTCATTACAAAGTACCTATGATGACTTTTCTTCATACTGAAACTTGTTTTGAAGATCACTTCTATGAAAAACAACTTGGGGTTGCTAGGATGTATTTACAAAAGGCTAAACTACTTAGCATTAAGAGCAAAATATGGCTGAAACACATTTCCCGTATGACATCTAGTTCAGTTCTCATATTTGAATAAAAAAATGAAAATTTATTTACATATGTGATTTTATTATTAGACTACCGCAGATCCCCAAGCTATGCTCATTCCCCTACGCCCACTATTCTTTTTTAAAAAATGCTCTCTCTCAGCTATTCTACTTTTTAAAAAAGATACTCTATCCCAATCATTCTACTTTTTAAAAAAATACCGTTAGGGGGGAAAAAAAACCAGATTTCTTGTTTCTGGTGCAAATTTGTCCAACTGCCCCAGCAAAATCCCCATTTCTATTACTTGGACCTACTTATTTCGGTGCTAAGCAGCACAGAACCATTGTAATAGAAATCTTCACCATCTTAGTCAGGAGTGCATAACCTGCAATCACAAGATTGCATAACATCACAACACTGCACAAGTTCCACCCATCCATTCCTTGGTGTGGTGCCCGAGGCCCCTAAGGTTGCCACCAAATACTGAATATGACAATGGAATAAACTATTACATACACACATGTTACATATACATAAGAAGTAATCTTTTTAATTGAATATAATTTTAACAAGATTTAAATTAAATCAAATGTAATGGTTGTGTGGCCTGATCGCTTCTGGAACAGAACAGAACTGACATATTCAGGAGAGAGAGGGATTCTAATCAAAATCTAGATTAGCAGCAGCACTCTCAACTAAACCACAGTACTGACTTAATCGGGAAAAAAAAAAAAAACATAAACCAAACTCTGATTTAGAATAGGCAACTGAGATAATAAAGACTGACAAGCTTAAGGGTCCAAAACTATACATTAGCAAAAGTGAACTGGAAAAATTAAACCCATTTTTTAAAACAGCAGCCACTGCACATGCACCTAAACTATGGGTTAAACATCAAATATATCTGAAATTGTTTACTTACTCCTATGATACTAGATCAAGCATTAGACATTATTTCATACATAGTGCAAGTTTTTCAGACTTAACAGAAATGTAAGAAAATATTAGATACTATAGGTATGCAACTTTTCCAGTGGCCAACAGACAGTCTACCATTTGATTGCTTCCGTTTTTGCAAGGTGCAAATGGCTAACAAACATTTTTTATTGTGCAAACTGCAACTTTGCTACTTTGATTAAAAACAGGCAGCCAGCAAACCTCTGCTGTCTAGAAAGTGATCCACAGTCTCTTGGTCACAACACTAAACTTTGACTTCAGTATCAAAAGGGTATCACTAACCTTTTGAGGGATCACAAGCAAATACTTATGCTTCTTTCATTAGAGAAATGCTCACCATTATGACTGGGAAGACCTACATTTTGCCCAGAGCCCAAGGAAGATGTGATTAAACCCTTCATGCAGAAAATCATGATGGCCAGGTTATCCTCCACCAGGAATCATGTACCAATGAGAACATTCTACTAAGTCTAAAATGTCCCTGATTGGATTCTGACCCTGTTCTCTGCCCCAACTGTATTAATGACATGTAGCCTTTTTCAGAGTCTGTTTTTGACATAAGACAACTGTAAGTATGGTCACAATCATCTTCAGAATGAAGATTTTCAATTTCTCATCTCACGGTGTGCTACTACTCAAAATAATGCAAATAACGGCCAAGAAAAGTCAATTAGTGGCATCGCTCCCACTAACATTTTAGCTAGAAATATGCTACAATTCAAAATATCAAGAACTAAGAATCTGGAAGATGAATTAAGATTCTACTACTTTAACTTAGGTTAACTATTATGCTGGTCTATGACCGTAACAAAGATTTGATTGATAGGTTAACTACAGAAGTTCAAGGCAAGTTTCTATACAGGCATTTTAATGCAAAAGTTTGCCTCTCTGAACTGTTATTCTTTCCAAGTAATGACTAGAGCAAATGTCTTGTATGCCTAACTTTCACAACTGTGATTAATATCTGTTTCTCAAACAGGGAAAAACTAGGAGAATTTGGAGAAAACTTTAGCCGTAAAATTCTGTACAGTCTTACCACTGCCTCAGTTAAGTTAATTTCACTAATTTTACCAGGATTTGGCAGAGAAAGATATGTTTCAAACAGTACTTCAATTATATTTTTGCATATTGAGCTTGAATATAACATTAATCTCAGATTCTCATGTATTCTGTATTACTTATATTAAAAGAATAAATAAACTCAGTGTATTATCTTTTACAGATAGTGCATATTCTAGGTAATTTTATAGCGTGCTTGTTTAAAATAAGATGGGTAACTATATTTCACAGCTGCCATTAGATGGCAGTGTTCAACAACTTTCCATTGAAATACTAAGTTAAGGCTAGGTTTCAGCAATCTCTACACAATATTTAATGTACTGGAACAGCTATAGGGTTGCTTCCTTTAAAGTGATGGGCTTTGAGAACTATTTTAAGATTACAAGCTGATGTTGGATTTTAGGGCCTGGGATTAACACAACAGAACTTGTTTTAATAGGATTTTATAAATTATCTGTCCAAAACGTGAGGATGGGAAAAGCTGAAAGCTCAACCACCTTCAATATTTCTCATTATGGAATTACAAAACAGCAGCTTTCCTGAGTTTGTTATGTATTTGGAATAATGTTAAGGTATACAGGCTTTTCTACTAATCAGTACAGAATACTGCACACTGGAAAGAAACATTTTTTTAAAATGTTTAACCCAAGTCATGACCATGTTTTGAATGTTCGGCTACTCTCCAAGCTAAATTATATTTTACATGTTCTAGCACTGATGTTAAACTGGACTGGCATTTGGCATTCATTAGAGGAGGTGGGAAACTTTACATAGACACTGATTCATATATATGTGAAGAGGAATTACAGGAAGATGGTGCAATTCTAAATTGTTTAGATGGGAAATAGGAATGCATCACTTGTCTTGGTCATTCTTTGAGACAAGACCTAGAATCCTTTCTAGACTGTAATCTGTCCTAGAACCAACATGTTCAAAGTAGCAAGTCCTGGAAGCAGCAATGCAGGTTCTAAAGTCAGACAGAACAACCAGTTTGTTCCCTGCATTTTGCTGGTTTACAGAATATTCCTACACATGACCAAGAATGCCCAACATTCAGGACTCCCCTGCAACATTTATTACACGAGGTTAATATTCCCATTATTTAATTTTGGTAACACTACCAGAAACTAGTAATCTAGATCTCTTGATAGGCAAAGCTTCATATTCCCAGCTATCTTTATTATATATTTCTGACCAGGTCCCAAGTCAGTATCATAGCCCTTTTTTCTGGAATGCTTTCCCATTTAGTTTCATGGATGAACCATTATTCACTGTTCTCTCACTAAAATTCCAGTCAACAGGACAAGAAAGTTGAAGAGTCTTTTTGTATGTCCAGTAGGGATTAAGTATGAAAGTAACAGCACTCAATCCTGTGAATACAACAATAAAATGTAAGAGTCCCAGATTTTCCAGCACAGCATTCCAATTGGAAAGACACACCCACCACATGTGGTAGGTAAGGATCATGCGGCAGTGAAACATGTGGATCATTACCCACTGACTTGCCTTCCAAAAGAAAGTATTAGCCCAGCCAGCCTAGAGAAGAAGAAGAAGAAGGTTAAAATTCCATATACATAAACATGAAACACATTTCACATATAGATCATAACAAAGAACCATATTTGCGAAGTTAAAGCAATATAGAACCTTACTACTTCCAAGTTTGTTGAATGAGTTATGAAAGAACTGGAAGGACTGAAACAACAAGGCTAAGCTGTCAGCAAGAACTTGATCAAGCATCTGGATGACACTTTAGGAGGACAAAATGGAATGTCACCAAGGATGACTATTAGGATACATATCCTGAAGGAAGTATGCTTAATTTCCAAAATCAGTGATGCCAAGTTCTTCCAGTTCCAGCAGACTTATGTCTTTTTGTCTCATGACTGAAAAGGATCACTCAGTGGAAAAACAGCCTTTTGCAAAATAAAAAAGGTGGGATAAAAAATCTAAAAAAACAAAACGAAACTATAATTCAATTGCACATTAGTATTCTAAAGCCACATTGTGTCCAAAGTACTCCTTTCATAAAAGCAATGTACAACTGCTGGCTTTAGTATTCTGGTATAAACTTACTCTGACATGCAATGTCTCCCACCCATCCCAATATCCCCAGAGTGGCTTGGATCTTAAGACAGGGAAAGTTTCTGATCCCTTCCTTCTCCACCTACTCAGGACATTACATAACAATATAAATCATGTTTTATGTGAACTCAGTCAACTGTAGTTCAGCAGTATCTGAAGGGAAACATTTGAATTTTGACTCAGATTCCAAAACTGCTGTGACTGTTATTTCACATAAACATAAACAGATGGTCAGAAATCTCCTAACACAGCTCCGCAAAATCTAAGCAAATTATAGCTACTTGAACTTTATATTCATACGGAAGCATAATGACCCCCAGCATTTAAACAGCTCAATTGTTCCTATGAATTTGATTCTTGCTTAATATTTTGAAAGAGCTCCTGGCGATCACATCTGCTTGGAAACATAATTGTCTGACAAAACAGCTCATCTAATATCTAATAGTGGGGAGTTCATAACTAGTCAAATATAATTATACAAATATACCCAATTTTTTCTCAAATTATGTTACATAAATTAGGTTCAAAGCACTAGAAGTATTTTCACAAGTGAATAGTATTCAGATTTTCCATCTTCATAAACCAAGACAGTGATATTAATCATAAGCGATGTATTAATACTTACTTTTACTTTTAATAGTTATTCAAATCCAGAAAGGATTGGTTGGGTTCACATAACCGTCTTTTGTTTTCTATAGTTATTTTAATCTAGAAGAGGCCGGTTGGGCTCACACAATATATTAAGCAAAAGGTTGTAAAAGTATCACCTTGGAGGACATGCACCCACCAGCATCCCTTTTACCTCCTCTATTGACATAATTTTGTCACTGCTATGCCTCTGGCAATTTCCAGAGATTAAAAAGTAAAATAAAGTATGGCTTATGGCCAGAGGGAAATTGCCCTTTCCTAAGCCATGGATTACAAATCACAATGGTTGGGCTCAAACTACACTATGGCTTAGCATGATGTATGAACACAACTACTACTTGGAACCTTCTATTTTTCAAAAACTTCCTTCTCTTTTCTCTCCAGCCCTTATTATCTGTGAAATATACTGAATCTGGGTTGGCAAGGTTACGGCCTTCCCAACGTTTAAGCAAACCTCCCGTCACCTCAGCCACAGGCTGAGCTGTTTTGGAGCTCAGGAATAGAGAGCCAGTTTGGTGTAGTGGTGAAGGTTCTGGCCTAGAAATCAGGAGACCGTGAGTTCTAGTCCCACCTTAGGCATGAAAGCTGGCTGGGTGACTTTGGGCCAGTTGTGCTCTCTCTCAGCCCAACCCACCTCACAGGGTTGTTGTGGAGAAAATAAGAGGCAGGTATGCTCACCACCTTAAATTATATATAAAAAAGGTGGGATAAAAATATAATAGTAATAAAAATATCTGAAAGATTACAAACTTCCCACCTGTGTATTAAGCAATATGCACTCATAACATGATCTTTGATCTAGTTTTTAGATTTCAAACTTGCACCTAAGCAGGAAATGAAATACTGTCTAAATTGTTTGCATTTCTGTCATAAAATTTTACATTACAGTGCTGTTTTCAACTTGCAAGACTAAAAAACAGCATAGTATCATGTATGCTACATAGAGAGCTCTGTTACTTTAAAGGGATATTATTCTTATTTTTAATTAATAAGGCCAACTGATCACAAGTGACTCAAAGCGGCATACTCAAAAGATTGGAAAACACACTAATACCATCCCCAAAAAGCAGCTTAAGGGACAGCCTCTGATCTGTTGCATGTACAGTTCCCCTCTTCTTATTGCTTCCTTGCACCACCTCCAATTGAAGGGAGCAACAGTTGATACAGATCCTATTTGCTGTCACTTGCCTTTTCTATCAAAATGGCAATATAGTCCACTTTCCCTTAAGGTCACAGGGAGAGAGATGATGATGTTACATTATGTCACACCCCCATGTACAAAGTTTCACATGACTTCCTCAAATGTATGAACTTTGTTGATACCAGAAAGCATAGCAGGAAATAAACATTCTGCAAGCAGAGCTATTTTCTGCCCAGAATTGAAGATCATTATTTTCTTTGTTCAGTGGTATTGCAGGGCAGCCAACAATCCATAGAAATAGCAGTTTTAATCTACGGTTCCATGTCACAGGAAAACAATCCAATTAAGTAGTTCACAAAATTATAAAATGGGACATTACTATGTATTTTTACATAGAACCACATCTTATTGAGCTACCTAAAACAAGCTTACAGACAACACTAGTCTCCCATTTGTGGTGTATATCTCCCCATGTGCCAAACTTATCATAGATTGCAATTCTTAAGAATATACCTTTAGTTATCCAATGGATTACACACTAACAATGAATGTGAATTGCTCTAGACCAGATCAAGGTTCATGTAACTCAACATCCTGATTAGCTACAAAAGGAATGGACAGCTCATAGCCCCCACAGACAGGACTACTGAATGGAATTGACAACTAAATGGCTAATTTCTGCCAGCAAATTTTGGGCCCCAAGTGCAGCTCCACTTCTTCATCACTCTTCCAGTGATATTTTCCCGATTCCCGAGCTGACTGGGGACAAGTGCAGAAAGTTGCTTATCCCTAGCCAGATTTACTGATTCTCCTATCTTCTTCCAGAACAAGTGTTTTGGGTACACTTGCACTCTAAAACACAGTCCTAAGTTAAATTTAAAGTAGCATGTGTAAAAGTTAATAAAGACATTATTGAATTAATAGATTCAATATTTCATTTTGAAAAGCTCAATTGAGATACTCTATTTTTAAAAAAATTGAATTATTCAATCAGGGTTTCTCCTAGCTGTTGCTCTACCACATAATGTTCTAGATATGAGAATCAGCCAATCTTTTCAAGTGTGCATTTGTTATGACACTCTTTTGTAGCAATTGCATATGTTTGTAGATGAAGAACAACTAGCAGTGAAGGCCGCCAGCTAGGTACTCAGACATTGGCCTAGGCCTGATCACCCAGAGACTTTGCATGGAAACTCATGCAACTAACAGAGAGGAGATGGAGGACTAGATTCTAGGCAGGAGATTCACCACCCTTCAAGAAAAAGGTGGGGACTGAGGGTTGAAGCCTGAACCTTGCAGCATACGATGCCTCATTACTGAAGCAAGCTGTTCACCATGCTCTCTGAGCTGCTGCAATTCCAGCCCAACTTGCCATATGGAGTTCCACTGAGGGCAAGTCCAGACAAGACATGTGATTTTATGTAGCCACAATAGCTACAATCTTGGAACAGCTCTCTAGTCAGTCAGGAGGAACCTCTCCTTTGCTCACTGCTCTCTCACCTTTAAAAGCATCCAAGACATGCAAGTGAAAGGTGTGCTCATCTCAAGTAGCATTCCCATCAAAGGTATGTAATGTCCAGATTTTATGTTGGTCACCAGACCCAAAAAACCACCAAAAGCAAGAAAATGATGAACAACTACAAATAAGTCAAATGTTTTGAATACAAAATTAGAGACATGAACAGCTACATTTTCCAGCAAAAAGAACCCAGAGGCTATGAGGCAACTGAACCAACTCCAGTCCTGCTGGGAATAAACCCTGTCAGCTTGAAAAACTGGATCTAGAAATAAAGCCCACAAGCCAGCCACACAACTCTGAATGCCGAACACGCCCCGTGTAGCAGTCAGATTCCAAAAGACTTTCTCCTTCGCTGGTAATGAGCGGTAAGTGATACTCATCCATGAAGATAAAAAATGTGAAAAACAAAATATTCCCAAGTAGAGAAAGAAGCCACTGGCCACTAGTGCCAAACGAACTTCCCACAGAAAATAATTCCAGGCAAATATAGAGCTAGATGTTGCCCCATCATTTTCAAGATTCATTTCTTCTACTTATGTTGAGGAGGTTTGGGGAGACAGTCTCATATGCTTGTCAGGTCCACTTAAGAACCTTGAACATTTGCCCATGCACTGAGTAGCAACCAAATTCTCATTGTCATCTGTAGAGAAAAATAAAGATAAAAATAAAACTCTCCATATAGGAATAGACACATGTATATTTGCTTACACATAACATCTTATACCTAGTTCTAGGATGTCATACAGACTTAGTTCACAAACTGCACTAAGAGGTTCTTTAGTTTGAGTAAAGCTTTTTTTATAACCAAAATGGCTTAGCATTTTGCATAATCCAGTAATGGGTTACTTAAACTGTGATTTAGTAAACATCACATGATATGAGAACCCAATTATGTATTATTAGTAGCAATCCAAAAGCTATTTGAGGTCATTCCCCATACTTCTCCAATTAACACTGGAATCAAGAACCATACATTGCTTCTTAGTACTTCTTACAATGACTTCTTAGTCACTGGCCATATTAGTGTGGCTCCGAATCCAGACACTGTCCTGTAAAAACAAGTCATGATGTTGTGATAGCAATTATATTGTACAGTGGTACCTCGGTTCACGAACGCTTCTGTTCACGACCAATTCGGGTCACGAACAGCTCCGTTTGCAAAATTTTGCCTCCGTTTGCGAATGCCGGATTGGGTGACGAACAGGATCCACGGCCATTTTCC